TCACTAAAAAAAAGTAATGTTAATTCCTTACATCGGATTTTTTTTCAGAAACATCTGATTTTGCCCAATTTTGCTAATATATGCAAGGTTCACCCCTTACAATTTAAGATTTTTCATAAAAATCTCATTTTGCCAAATTTTGCTTAAAATGCAAGGTTAACCCCTTTCAATCTGCAATTTTCCAGAAACATTTGATTTTGCCCTAATTTGGCAAAGGTTAACCCCTTACAATTTTTGATTTTTCATACAAATCTGATTTTTCCCAATTTTGCTAAAAATGCAAGGTGAACCCTTTACAATCTGAAATTTTTCATGAACACCTGGTTTTGCCGTATTTTGCTAAAAAAAGCAAGGTTAACCCCTAACAATTTGAAATTTTTCATGCACATTAAAATTTGCCAAATTTTACTAAACAAGCAAGGTTAACCCCCTTACATCTGAAAATTTCAGATGTAATGGGGTTAACCTTCCTTTTTAGTGCCCTAATTTGGCAAAGGTTAACCCCTTACAATTTTTGATTTTTCATACAATTCTGATTTTTCCCAATTTTGCTAAAAAAGCAAGGTTAACCTCCTTACATCTGAAATTTTTCAGAAACATCTGATTTTGGCCAATTTTGCTAAAAATGCAAGGTTCACCCCTTATAATTTGAGATTTTTCATAAAAATCTGATATTGCCCAGTTTTGCTAAAAATGCAAGGTTAACCCCTTTCAATCTGCAATTTTCCAGAAACATCTGATTTTGCCCTAATTGGGCAAAGGTTAACCTCTTACAATTTTTGATTTTTCATACAAATCTGATTTTTCCCAATTATGCTAAAAATGCAAGATCAACCCCTTACAATCTGACATTTTTCATAAACACCCGATTTTGCCCTATTTTGATAAGAAATGCTAGGTTAACCCCTTACAATTTGAGATTTTTCATTAACATTTAATTTGCCCAATTTCGCTAAAAATACAAGGTTCACCCCTTACAATTTAAGATTTTTCATATCAATCTGATATTGCCCAGTCATGCTAAAAATGCCAAGTTAACCACTTACAATCTGCAATTTTCAAGAAACATCTTATTTTACCCAATTTCGCTTAAAAAAGCAAGGTTAACCCCTTTCAATCTGCAATTTTCCAGAAACATCTGATTTTGCCCTAATTTGGCAAGGTTAACCCCTTACAATGTTTGTTTTCTCATACAAATCTGATTTTGCCCAATTTTGCTAAAAATGCAAAGTTAACCCCTTACCATCTGAAATTTTCCATAAACACCTGATTTTGCCCTATTTTGCTAAAAAATGCAAGGTTAACTACTGACAATTTGAATTTTTTTTATAAACATTTAAATTTTCCCAATTTTACTAAAAAAGAAAGGTTGACCCCTTACAATTTGAAATTTTTCATACACATCTTATTTTGCCAAATTTTACTACAAAAGCAAGGTTAACCCCTTACAATCTGAAATTTTCCAGAAAGATCTGATTTTGCCCAATTTCGCTAAAAAATGCAAGGTTCACCCCTTACAATTTGAAATGTTTCATAAACATCTAAATTTTACTAAAAATGCAAGGTTAACCCCTTACAAGCTGCAATTTTCCAGAAACATCTGATTTTGCCCAATTTTGCTAAAAATGCAAAGTTAACCTCTTACCATCTGAAATTTTCCATAAACACCTGATTTTGCCCTATTTTGCTAAAAAATGCAAGGTTAACTACTGACAATTTGAATTTTTTTTATAAACATTTAAATTTTCCCAATTTTACTAAAAAAGAAAGGTTGACCCCTTACAATTTGAAATTTTTCATACACATCTTATTTTGCCAAATTTTACTACAAAAGCAAGGTTAACCCCTTACAATCTGAAATTTTCCAGAAAGATCTGATTTTGCCCAATTTCGCTAAAAAATGCAAGGTTCACCCCTTACAATTTGAAATGTTTCATAAACATCTAAATTCTACTAAAAATGCAAGGTTAACCCCTTACAAGTTGCAATTTTCCAGAAACATCTGATTTTTCCCAATTTTGCTAAAATGTGAGGTTAACCCCTTGCAAACTGTTAAATCAATACATGAAGTGTCCCATTAGACTTTTTTAAAACAAATTATTTTTCCAGTTTTTAGGGTAAAGGAATTTTCTCTTTTTCCTTTCTCTTTTGTTGTTGCTATATTTTGCGAATTAACTCATTCGTTTAGAATGCTCATAGTCAATCAAAGAATATTTCACACATAGGGGCCTAAATTATATTTTTTTTTTATTTAATAGAGACGCATTGATCGTGCTATCATATACCATTTTATTATTATTGCGAATTACTGTATTGTTTGGAATGCTCACAATTAAAGACACGTTATTTGAAAGATGTATAAATAATATTAATAAACAATGTACATCTTTATTCTTTCCCGGTATAATTTATGGCGTTTCTTACGTCAATTGGCAATCGCGTCATTATATAATGATAGTCAAATTGATCAAACGAAACTCCGTTTTGATTACAGTCAATTATAAAATATTCATTGATTTATGACATACACCTTTGTTTAAATTTTGATACTACCCGTAGACCTGCCGAGCAGCTGTAGATATCAAACTAAACCAAAGTATAAAAGATAGAGGGTAAAAAAAAAATCAAAAAGTTATGTGCTAGTCAAGCTTTCAGGGATCGGTCTGAGCCATAACAATGCCCCAGCCGATCCCTTAGTTCTCTTCCGGGGTCTCGGCGTCCCCGACCAATACACACTTCCTTCCCTATCCATCCATATAACCCCGGAGGGCCAGGCACCATGTAAAAGCAAAGAGCTAAGGGAGGAACAGGGCGGCCCCTAAGCCCTGATCCTCCGAGTGGACCACATGCCCTGAACCTGTACGAAGGCGCCAACCTGGAACTCGCGGACAGTACCAGCAGCAGTGCTTACCGATTAAGCTAAGGTACTGTTGGTACTTTACGACGGGAAATTAAATCTCTTATAGTGAATAATTGAACTCATACTTTAAAAACCAAATAGACACCAGCGGGATTCGAACCCGGGACCCCGTTAACCGTGGACGACGAATCGTAACCACTCGGCCATTTCGTTACCTTAGAATTTTCCTTAAACTGAGAAAAGTTGTCTTTATAGGTGAGCAAACGCGCCAGGAAGATTACTGGGTCCATTTGCTTTACCTTAATGGGTAAAAACAAGTCGATATAATGAGCCCAGTGTGTTTGGTTTGTTAGGAAGCTGCATAACACAGCCTAATGTGCAAAACAGTCGTGTGCTAGGCGGATCATTACGCAACAATGAACACCGCAATTGTGTATTTTCAAAAGGCAGACGCGTAGATTTCTACTCTTTGTATCTGGGCACATATAGATTCTCACCTTCCTCTTCAGCTATTTTGACTTTCTTAAAAAGAAAAATAGAGACTGTCAGCGAATCTCCGGGAGTTAAAATAAGGATCGTCCCCTCGATAGACCTCAGACTCAGTAAAGTTTAACATTGGGCTCTTTTTCAACAGCTGTTTTTGCGGAAACTTTACATCTGGATTTTTTAGAAGCATCTGATTTTGCCCAATTTTAGTAAAATATGCTCCAAATTTTTCTAAAAAAGCAAGATTAACCCCTTACCATTTTAGATTTTCATACAAATCTGATTTTGTAAAATTTTACTAAATATACAAGGTACACCTCTTACAATTAAAAAATTTTCATAAACATTTCTTTTTGCCCAATTTTGCTAGAAATACAAGGTTAAGCCCTAACAATCTGCAATTTTCCAGAATCATCTGATTGTGTCCTAATTTGCTAAAAAAAAATGCAAGGTTAACCCCTTACAATTTGATTTTTCATAAACATCTAATTTTGCCCAATTTTACATCAGCTTATGCTAATAAATTATCAGGTAACTGGATCATTAAACGGGACAGGTGCACATCGGCCTTGGAGCTCAGACCATCTGTCATTCACTCCTTAATGCATAGATGATGCATATTAACACTATGGGTATAGTACAGGCACAGCTGGGGGTACTGCCCAAACAATGATGAATGCATTGCGTATGCTTAAAGAATTACCCACAACTCCGGTTTTTACCGTTTAGGTCTGGCTCTAATCACTTTACGCGATCCCCTGACGTCTCATACACTGACTTTAGGCAAAATAGTCAGACTTTCGCGGTCTAGTAACCAGACTTTGACTCTTAACGAAACATCGAATGAAAAGGGAAACATCAAATGCATATTGCAAAAGATCGAATGCAAACATACCGATGAAACATCGAATACAAATAGCTCGAAATGTCAAACATATGTGTAAAACATTGCTAACATATTTGAGAATATCGCAAATATATTGTAAAACAACACACACAATTGTATCGAAAAACATCGCACATTTAATGCAAAAAATCGAACATAATATTGAAAACATCGCACATATATATCGTCAAAAACATCGCACATATAAATTGAAAATCGCATATAAATGTAAAACATCGCACACATATATTGAACATCGCACATATATTGTAAAACATCGCACAAATATATTAAACATCGCGCAAATAATGAAAAACATCGCATACTTGTTGTCAAAACGTTCGATCATCCACTTTTCTGTTTTTCTGAAAGGAGAAAAGCAGATGGCCACTTTTCGTCCACCTGAGTAAAATTTTCTTTTCAGGTGGCAGAAAAGCAGAAAAATGCATTGTCACAAAACGTTAATCTGTTTTCTGCTTTTAGTGATAGCGAAAAAAAGCAGATGGCCACTTTTCTTCCGCCGGCCGGAAAAGCTAGGAGGAAAAGTAAAATCTGCTTTTCTGGTAGCAGAAGAGCACAAAAGTAGAAAAATGCAAATCTACAAAAAAGTTCAATTAGTTTTTCAAGTAGCAGAAAAGTCGAAAAGTCGAAAAATGAATTGTTTAAAAACGTAGGCCTATCTGCTGTTCTGCTTTTCTGATAGCGGAAAAGCAGATGGCAACTTTTTGTCCTAGGTTCAGCCCACTGCACTATTAAAGATCGCTACGACTCAACAGAGGGCGCTGTGTTTTCATGCCAGGTCATCTCGCTGCCCTTGAAGTTGAACTGAGCAAACTTTTTAGCTGGAACTGCCGGCCGTTCGCGTCAAGAGCTGAAGAAAGTGACTCCGTGAAATGGCTAAGCTCAGATTTGATGGGCGTGTTGCACTCATCACCGGTGCAGGTGGAGGTAAATTAATATTAAAGGTGGTTTTTTTTACTCGACAGGGCCAGTGTAGTTGGAACATGTGGATGTGGTAAATTACGTTACGTTTTCAATTCACCAGTTGCGGTATGGAATGTCGGTCAACCAACTTGCTCCTCCCCCTAGCCCCACAAATGTGGCCAATTTACTGGACTACCTCTGTCAATAAAGGCCACACTTGGCCATGTACCTGAACATGTAGGACTTTGTCAAGCCTTTATTTTCACACTTAGACTTTATTTGTAAAAATTAGACCGATTTTACACTGTAGAAGAAGCACACTCACCCTTGAGCGATAAAACTTTTGGTAATCCTTACTTTTAGGACCCCGTTCCTATATAGTAAGGGAAAGACTCACCAAAACAGTTGACTAAATGACACTCAAAATTGACATTCTGATACTTCTTGGCACATCTGAACAATTGGCAATGACACCTTCTTGACTTCTAAAGACTGCTTTAGCCTGCAAAAGTCACTTTGGTACTGGACAGACATCTGCAAAAGTCAGTTTTGAACAGAACTCGTAAAAAATAGAGGTGTCCTAAAAGTAAAAACTTACGAAAAAAAATTGCAACCTGACACTATTGTCAAAACAGAAAAAAATAATTTTTTTGTGCTTGTAGGCCTACCTCAGAGAGTTTACTTTCATGTGAGAACTGTAAGGAATATGTTGACAAAGTCTTTAAGAGAGATTTGTAGGCGAATGTTGCCAGCTCAGTGAATTTTTACCTGTCGGGCCAATAAAAATAATAGTTCTGCTTCCAGTTTCCCTACCTACCCTATTCTGACAGCCCCTACCCTCATTTTTTTATTGGAAAAATGAGGAAAAACACCCAAAACCATAAATTTCTACCTTTTACCCTTACATGATGTAACTACCCGCAGACGCCTCCATATGATTGTACACACACAAAAATGGGCAAAAAAATTTATTTCCCTACCTAGGGCCTACCTACCCTATTTTCAAATGCCATGTAATCGGAAGCAGAACTATTTTTTTTTGGCCTCACTGCATGTTTCCACTGCATCGGTTGAGGGCCTCCTCTACATCAACATGCAGTGACATGTAAAAATTCACTAAGTTGGCCACACATTCGCCAACAAATCTCTCTTAAAGACTTCCTCAACATATTCCTTACAGTTCTCACATGAAAGTATACCCTCTGAGATACAAGATAAACAAAAAAAGGCTTTTTTTCCGATAGAAAATTAGTCCCCCCTTTTTCAGACGTCTGTATTTCGTGTAATTTCTAGGTTCATTATGCACACTTTATAGCATATCTAAATTCTAACACGAAATTACATGTTGTACGCGAAAAATACACTTCTGAAAAAGGAGGGACTAATTTTCTACCGCTTTAAAGAGGGTGAGTGTGCTTCTAAAGCATAAATAAACTACAAACAAAGTCTAAATGTGAAAATAAAAACTTGACAAAGTTCTACATTTTCGGGTACATGTTCCAAGCATGGCCTTTATTTACGGAGGTAGTCCAGTAAACATGGTAAACTGGCCACATTTATGGGGCTAGTTTTGTAGAAAAAAACTGAGTGGAAGAAACATTGGGAAAAATGTTGCAACCTGACAACACTTTTTCTTCATGTATCATCACAATGAAGATCAGTCATTGCAAAAATGATGATCAGACATGAATCTGGGACTGAGAAACATTTCTGGTTTTATTAGGAAATACTTTCTTGACTCTTCATTGTCTTTGTACACAACCACTGAAGTGGCGTCAGATTGCAAATTTTTTTCCGAAACATTTTAGGTTAATACAAGTTTGGATTTTGTCGGATACTGCAAACCAAACAAAACTGGATTCAAATCATTTAAATTTTTTGAGACACTGAAATGTATAAGTTTAGGCCTAATGCAGAGCAAAGTGTGATTATTTTGCATACAAAAAGGAGTGCAGAATTACAGCAGAAATATGATTGAAATGCTCAAAACCCAAATTTTCTCAAAATGTTTTTTTTTTATTCATGCTTATTTCAATAAAGATATATGGCAGACAGCAATCATAATTTCAAAAAATATGATAGTTAAATAAATTTGGGACTCTCAATACTGTGTATGACCGAGGGAGTCCCAAAACTTATGGTATTGAAAACATGTAAAAAATACAAGAAAATAGACTGACACATGAAACAACCAGTCCAACACGGCTTCAGTACCTCATCAATCAACTGTGCCAAAAGAAACATGTGGCACGAACCAGGAACTAGTCTCTATTTACTACACATTTCTCCATAGCCAGCCACCAAACTTAAGACAGTGAATAATGAAGGGGTCAGTCTTTTCAAATAGTTAGACCATGGTTGGACATGTACCAGTCTAGTCTTTAGCCTCATTTTGAAATCACTTAACTTTTCTCTCATGTGCAACATATTGAAGAAATGTCTCCGTTAAAAATTGAATTGAGTCTGAAAACGTGGTCTGGTGGCTGACTATGGAGAAATGTGTAGTAATAGAGACTAGTTCCCAGTTCGTCATGTTCATGCCACATGTTTCCTTTGGCACAGTTGATTGATGTAGTACTGAAGCAGTGTTGGACTGGTTGCTACAAGTGTCAGTCTATTTTCTTGTATTGCATGTTTTCAATACCTTAACTTTTGGGACTCTCATACACAGTATTGAGAGTCCCAAATTTTCGGACTAGGACAGGCCTTTGATTATGTAGGTGTAAGTGCATGGAACGCACCATTTTTATCATGTTTATCAGGAGAAGTGCCCGGTTATCAGAGATGAATGGTCAAGTACAAAGGTTGCTCTTTATATCGCAGTGGGTCTGGCCTTGTATGGTAGTTGACTTTTATAATGCTATGTACATGTTACTTACATCAAAAAAGTAAATGTGCCAGCCATGCACTAAGGCCAACTTGGCCTGAAATGTTTCATTGGGGCATCAATTAATCAACCCTTCCCCTTCCAAAAAAGTTAGTCATTTTGTGGACTGAAATGTTCTGAACAATTAGGGGGAGGGTGATAAACACTATCATGTTGTAGCTTGTGCACTCAGCTTTTGATGTGATGTTATAGTAGTCCCAAACAGTGTGTAAGAGAGCTAGGATATAGATAATCCTTTGTGTTATAGATCCCTTTTTCCACATTTTCTTATTTCCACTTTTTTTACCACCATGTGGAGAGGGAGAATCTTTCCACTTTTTTGTCATTTATCGAACTATATTTTTGGTGCTTTATTTCTCCTTTTTATGCATTTTTTTTTCTTCACAAACTACATGTACAGTAGATTCAGTCTTAAAAAAATCAAATGCCTTAAGTAAAAAGAGTTCTCTTCTGAAAGATTCCCTAATTTCTTTTGTTCTTGCCTTAAACCTGAAATGGTTGTACAGACAATTTCTTTCTTGAATGCACTGTTTATTACTTCTACCAATGACAAGTTTGTATTCTTTTCCCATTTTCCATTATGTATCTTATTGTAATAATATAATGTTTATACAAAGTGTGCAAAAAAAGTGCAATGTTGACAACTATACAGTATTTGTTTTCTGAATGTTGCACTTTTGTTGGTACACTCTGCAGTGTTTCCCCTGCCCATTCAAACGTGAGGTGGCCCACCTCGCTACTTTCAGTGACCACCTCGCTCAATTTTTGCCAATATCACCACCTCGCTGTGAAGATTGGCAAAAAAGGAAATATCAATTGAAAAATTTTCATTTGTGTAATATATGAGCGTTTTCCTTTACCTCCATGTATCAAGAACTCACAATTTTGATGTGTTTTTGGAATCATCGCGCATTTTTGTGAGCGCTGCATTCTTTTCAGTTTGCAGACTGCATAAATTTTGTTTCAATCATCAACTTGAATTGTTACCACCTCGCTCAGTTCATTAGCCAGGGGAAACACTGACACTCTGTATCACCTATTGTTGGTGGGACCAAGTTTACCCTGCAAATAATTAGAAATTTGTAAAGTAATGCTTCCATTTGTAAACATGGGCCAATTTTACTTACTTTGGTATTATCACCAAAAAGAAAGCAATTTAAAAACAAACTCTGTTTTCCGGTTTAGACTCAAAAATAGGATCTGAGACGGTCTTGATTATAAAATGTGAAGGTGTAATACTTGTACTCCAAACTTTTCATTGCAGGCCTTGGAAGGGAATATGCCTTGATGTTTGCTGCTCGAGGTGCTTCAGTAGTTGGTAAGAAGTTAAAAGATTCATTTGCTGTGGTTCTACATAAATCCAGTTATTTGATGTATAGTTAAATTACATGTAGAAGGGGATTGTCAATGAACCCATTTTTTTCCAGAAAATGTGCACTGTTCTTTCTCAAATTATGCAGTGCATACATGTAGCTGCAGATAGTGGTGTGCATAAATTATGAGTAGCACAGGAACTACAGGTACCTTATTGAAGTAAAACATGGATATCTGGGTACCCATAAAACCCCACCAAAAATTCAAATCCCAGGAGTTGTCTGAAGGGCTCTTTAGCTTTGCGGTTTCAACTACAGCTTTCATGAGCGTCATCTGTCGTGCCTTAAAAAGCACATGAACATGTAACCTGTATTGGTTTTCCATGTAGCCTGGTTTTCATATTGAAAATTCCCCACAAATGGCATTCAAAATCTCTCTTTTGCTTTGTCTTAGAAGTTGCTAAGTAATTTGTCAAGTTGGTTACGGGTACTCGATTCCATAATCTGGAACCGGTTCCTGACATCAGCGGTCGGGTACTCGGGTACCGGGTTCCAGTGCACACCCCTAGTTGTAGAGCATTGTATTTTACTCTCTTTTTTTGGTGTCGACATATTCTCCCAAAAAGTTCAAATAACAGATAACAGATTGATTCGCTGTGCAGTGTATTCTTTGTCATGTCTGTGTGTCTTCTTTTCGTAGCAACAACTAGATAATTTTTAATCTTTAGCACTACAAAAAATAAACAGAAAGACACACAACAAAGGAATGCATCTTTAGATTTGCACTGTGGTTTCCAGTGACAATTTCTTTTTTCACAGAATACCGAAACTAGTCATCACAGAACCCTTGATTGCTATTTCCCAGGTTTGCAGCATTGCTAAATGTTGCTAGTCATATGAGTTTGGGTCTGAACCCTGGCTACATGGAATGGTTTATACGTTCTGACTAGCACCCCTTGTTCGCAGACATTGACATAACGGGGAACTGCCAACATAGGGCTGGATAGCTCAGTTGGTCGGTAATCCTGAGGTTGCAGGTTCAAACCCCACTCCAGTCCATTTCTTTGTTCAATGTTTAAAAGTGCTACAGTTTTGAATGATGTATTTCCACTCTTATTGTGCTTTAAGACTTAAAAACCCTTCAAATAGTTTCATTTTAACAGACTTAGAAAGAGCATTTACTTTGTTCCAAACTTCATGATGTTGTCTTGTCACATCAGCATATTTTTTGTTTTCCCAGAAAGTCATTTTATATAAATAGTTTGATTGTCAAGCGTCAGGGAGCATTTTTAAATGGATTCGGCACTATAGAAATTTCCATTATTATTATTATTATTATTATTATTTTTGAATTTCTCACTCTGGCAAAAATGCTATTGACAATGTACATGTACTTCTTTCAAACTGGTTTTATGATTGTACTTCAAGCAGTGTTAATTTCCCCCTCTAACCCTGGTCACATTTGGTCAATAAGTCATTATCATTTTCTCTCTAGCAATTAATGCACACTGCACACAACTAGTACATGTAAGTTTACATAACATTTGGAGAAGGCATGTGTAATTCATTTGCCTTTGTTTACTCTTGTTGCCTAGTGAATGACCTCGGAGTGGACAGGCAAGGTAAAGGGACGGGCACCAAGATGGCCGACAAGGTCGTGGAGGAGATCCGGGCTAAAGGAGGCAAAGCAGTGGCCAACTACGGTCAGTCATCTCAGTTTTTGTAAACTTTCCCCTCAATTCCCACCTTAGGGCTGTGCCTAATATACCAAATATTTGAATAGTCGAGCAGTTTTCCGATTCGAATATTCGAAGAAAACGTTAGCATCATTTTAATCATATACATTGAGTGGTTTTATTGTTTGACAAATGTTCCATTTTGATCGACAGCTGAATTGGCTTAGAGCCTCTGTGTGGACTGTTAGCTCTAATTGCATCGCTTCTTGACAACTTCTCCATAACCACCTGATGGGCAACCAATTTCGCGAGGACTGATTATAGTTTACATTTTGTACATGTGGTCTGGTGCTCCTTGAAAGTTAAAATACAAAGAATACATAACAACAGTTTCCTCCACATTGGAGAATTTTGGGAGATTGGAAGATTGGATCTGACAAGTAAATTCTTCTTTAAAGTAATTATCACACTGTTTCTCCCTTTCTTTAGATTCTGTTGAAGATGGAGAAAAACTTGTTCAGACTGCACTGGACAACTTTGGCCGAATTGGTAATTTGACTCACCCTGTAATTAAAGCATGATCCATCGTTAGAGATCATTAGTATATAATACAAGTTAATGGATGTAGTGGGAAAAACTTACAATTTATGCAGCGCTTCTTTAGTCTTGTTACTGTAATATTGTCTCCGTTTCTTGCTATCAGATATTGTCGTCAACAATGCTGGCATCATTAGGGATCGCTCCTTTGCCAGAATCAGCGATACGGACTGGGGTAAGTGCACAGCTTACGACGCCTTTAATCTTCAAAACAAGATGAAATTCTCTTAAACAGACCTACCAAGTCTCACGCATCCGGCGTATGTCACTTGCCTCAGAGTCAATTCATACACTCACACGCCGGACAATCGTAATCACACGCCTCACTTTAAGTTGTTCTAAAAATACATTTTGGAGGTTGTTTTTGTGCGAGGGCTTACTGTCACATTATATGCGCTCCCATAGGAGACCTTACGGTGACCAATTTTTTTTTCATAGATTTAACAATCGCAGCGAGGACGCAAGAAAATGACAATTTTCTGTCTCAAAGAAGCTCAAGCTACGCTCATACTGTGCTCTTCGCGCGCTTACGATGCGTTCAACTCGCTCTCTATGCGCCCCTGTCAAGCCCAATTGCTCGATCTAGTCGCTGCCGCTGCGCTGTCACTGCGCCCACACTACGCTCTGCTCGCTGTTGAAGCGTCCTAGTAGCTCTCATCGCGCTCTCTATTCGACTAAAATACGCTCATGTGGCGTCACTTGGGCTGTATAAATACCACGACAAAACGGTCAATACACAGTCCAGTTTCAAAAAATTTTCTACAAGTTCATCGCAGTCGAGTTACTTTCTCATGGAGCCTACGTCGACTGCCTTGCGCCTAAGCTGCCTCAATGCAACTTCAATGTCGCACGATTCACGCTCGCACAGCGCCCGAGTTGCGTCATTACGGCACCCTGGCCAGAGCGCAGAGGTGTTGCGATTGTTTTGAGCATGTTCAAAGACCTTTGCACTCATCGGAGACCATTAAGACCCTCTGGCGCCCATCAGGCGACCTATGTAGTTGTCGCTGCGATCTAGTAGTTGTTGTTGCGCCCCAGCTATTTTTCAAGGACGCAGTGAGAGCGCATATAAGATCGCAGACAGTGTGACAGGGCCTTTAGCGTTTTGGTGACTTTGGTTCTGATCAAAGATCGTACAGCGCCGTACAGTGTGGTTCTACGTGAATGACAGTTGTGGTTCAATCAATGTGTTTCTGTTTATGGTCGCAAAAACAACCCCAACGTCATTGACCCAAAGAGACACCCTCATCCCCGGGGCCAGCCATGATGGCCTTTGCCGCTCGCACTGTCCTCCTTCCAGCTTTTGGGTGAGCTTGGCATAACCGAACCCCGCCCCCACACTATACAGGGATGCCAGTTTTCGGCTATGGGCTCCGTGCGCCAACGAAAGAGGGCGCTTTTTACCTAGCAACGACGTCCCACGGGCGGGACATTTTGCTGGTTGACGCGCACCATTCCTTGTGTGTGACGCACGTACACCAGGGGATTCAATTGTACCATGTACATGCAGTGCTAGTGGTGGCCGCGCATCGTGGCAAAATTGCAGTCGGGCAAGATGGCATCGGTCGGTCACCCCCAACTGTATTTTCTTTGTCGGTGAGGGGGTACTTGTGAACGGAGTGGATAGCTGGAACTCCAGCTTTTTCATGTTTTGGAAAAAACTCTGACATTCAATCTCTTCCTAGGCCAGAAACAAAATCCTTGTGCTACAGGCACGGAGAAAGCAAAATGTATTAATAAAACCAACTCAGCTACATGTCATCTCTTTCACGTTGTTTGATCATCGCTCGTGAGTGTTACACACTACGTGTCACCAGCATGCTAGACTCGAACTGAGTGCGCTTGAATATACAAAACTTGTTCTCTTTTGAGTTGGCTCATGTTTAGTAATTGTATTTGTATAAGATTTGAGGCTTTGCATGGTGGAGTATCGATATCGCTTTGGTTTGCGGTAACACCATGTGGTTGTGTCTACTTTCGCTCATTAGATTTAGTTACGATAAGTGCTGTCCTGCTAGTTCAAAAAAGGAACTTCCCCTGCTTATTATCTTCTTTCGCTAAGTACAAACTTATCTCAATCAGCCTCAGTGAAGAAAATTGTAAGAAGTCCCACTTCCTTCCAATGAACTTAACGAGAGTAGATAATAAGCAGGACAAGCTCCTTTTTTGAACTACATCTACTGAGCGAAAGTAGACACAACCACATGGTGTTACCGCCAACCGAAGTTATATTGCATAATTACTGTACACTTTTGAATATTGGTTGCCAGACAATAATTCCCCAAATTTTCCTGTTTCATCCCCTGTCCCCCTAATTCTAGATCTGATTCACAAGGTGCACCTTCGAGGGTCCTTCCTGGTGACTCGTGCCGCCTGGCCCCACATGAAGAAGCAGAAATACGGCCGCATCATCATGACATCATCAGCATCTGGATTGTACGGCAACTTTGGCCAGGCCAACTACAGTGCTGGTGACTACTTAAGTTTTTTTGCCCATCAACACTAAGGCCGAAAATCCAAGTGTCCGTCACACATTCAGTGCGTAGTGCATAATAATCAGCTGTTTGAAAAGCACCGTGCTTACGTCCATGTATCCATATTGCGTATTGCGTCCTGCGTATTGCATTATCCATGGAAATTTTATACACTTAAGGTAGTGATCAAAAAGGATAATTCACTATGAGATTTTTGTGTGTTCAACTTTAAGAAACAATGTATTGGTAGGTCGAAATGACGACAAATTATAATTGACCCAAAAAGGAAGAAGTTAAAAAAGTAAGACGTCAGAAGGCAGGAGGTCGTGGGTTCGAGTCCCACCCGAGTGATTATTTTCCACCTTTCACTCGGGAGGTAAAACACCGAGTATACAGTGCTTATACGGTATGTCAGTAAAGGGCAAAAACCTAATATTAATTCATAATCAATAGAATTCCATTCGCAAGCTTGTTGATATTATTTTTGCAATTCTGCATTTTGAAATTTCAAACTTTTTTTTCCTTTTTTTTTTTTCTCTCATTACAGCCAAAATGGGTCTTGTCGGGTTGTCCAGCACTGTGTCAATAGAGGGCGCCAAATACAACATCACCTGCAACACCATTGCACCCATAGCCGCCTCCAGGCTCACTGAAGACATCATGCCTGAAGGTGAGGTCAAAGGTTAAACGGTTATTAAAATCTTAGGATGGAATGCTAGGCCGTGTACAAATTACTTGGCTACGGCTTGAAATTAATCGCGTCAACGCAGCTTGTGGAGTATTGTCCAAGTACATGAAATACAAATGGACGCGGAACGCGCAAAATCTTAGACAAACAAAACTTAGTGTACAAAAACTCCATAGGGTTGTCTAAGGGGCGTGGCTAATTCGCAAACGGCGATAGGTCAATTACACATGAGTCTATGGGAAGTGGCTGCAGCCACTACCATAGGCACGTGTGTGGGGGGGGGGGGGTGGCATGACCCCCACATATTCCCAGTGCCCTTCCAGGTGCGCCCCACCAAAAACCCAAATTTGACAATTCACTTCCGTTAACCCTACGGCTTTATAACGTGAACAATTGGTTAAAATAAAGCTTGCCTGGCCAGTCGTTCCCCTAGAAATTTTGGGAATATTTTGTTATTATAAGATGGAATTTTGCGTCGGGGTGATATAAATCAAATAAGGTTTTGCCCTTCACCGACGTTTTTAAACACTGTATACTCAGTGTGTTAACTCCCGAGTGAAAGTGTCGGTGAAGGGCAAAACCTAATTTGATTCATATCACCCCGACGCAAAATTCCATCTTATAATAGTTTATGCGGTACCCGCTGCTATGTACATCAGATTCGAACCGGCCAACCGATCCCGTTAGCTCGGTGGTCGAGTGGTAAGACATCTGCACTAGAAAGCAGGAGGTCGTGGGTTCGAGTCCCACCCGAGTGATTTTTTCCAACTTTCACTCAGGAGGTAACACACTGAGTATACAGTGTTTAAAACGTCGGTGAAGGCAAAACCTAATTTGATGAATATTTTGTTGTTGGTTGCTAGTGCCCCCCTCGCTATGCCACTGCTTAGTGCTGCACTTGATGATATGAGTGTTCTTTTTTGTACTTTCCATTGTGTTTTGCAGAGATTTTCAACCTGATGAAGCCAGAGTACATTGCTCCCGTCGTGCTTTACCTGTGCCATGAGGACTGCACGGAGACCCACGGCATATTTGAAGCTGGGGCAGGCTGGGTTGGACAAGGTATCTAATCATGTGAAGTCATTCTTAATGGTACTCAAACTGGTAAATTACAAAGCACCAAAGTAACAGTGACAGGAAAATGTCACACTTAAGACTCAGCAGTTTATAGAACAGACCAGAATTCAATAGCAGTGTAACTGAATCCGATTTCAAAAGGCCTCATGACTTCATAACGCATCGTTTATTGTGTTGTCTCAGTACGCCTCACAGCTTCGCCATTTGTTCTGATGGCATTGTCAAGTAATCCGAGCATCATTCATTGTTTAATGGAGCCCACAAGCTCCGCAACAACAACTGATATATCTAAGCATGCATATTTTATGCTACCCTGTGCCCCATCCAATCGGAGTCGACTTTAGAAACTGTGACATCATTTTTAGCGAAAAATTTGGCCTAAGCTGTTGATTGGGCAATTCGGGCGATTCACAATGCAGTGCGCCACCAAGAGTTTGCCATGGAGAGTTCATTTTTCAAGTTTGAGGTCGACAAAACATGTCCCATTTGAACGAGTGTCAGTAGAAAACTTGAGCTAATTTGTTATAGATTGGGGCATAGCGTTCTGCCGCCTTACAAAAAACTCCATATTGATCAAAAGAAAAAAAAGGCAAACATTATATTCAAATCATACTTTTACAAACTTTCTGGCCGGAAAAACTAACAATTTCAAATGTCCCGCGCTGTGAATTTGTTGACCATTGCACTGGGAAAAATGAACTCTCCGTGGCAAACTCTTGGTGGCGCACTGCATTGTGAATCGCCCGAATTGGCTGACATGTTTTTGTAACATAACAACAGGTTAAGAAAGATTTGATATAGAAGGTGCCCACAGAATGGTCAGAATCTGGAGCTGAAGACACTGTCTTGCTTTGCATAATTAATCAAATCATGCATTGCTTAGACACAGCTATTCCAAGCGACTTTTCATAGACTATTGTCCAGAGGCCATGTCAAATTTTGTTTCCTTATTTCATTGTTTTATTCCAGTCAAGATCCAGAGAGGGAAGGGTGTAGTTTGCTCGACTGAAGCGGAAATGCTCACGCCAGAAGCAGGTATGCTCTCAAATTTCGTCATGTCATTGAAAAAACGTTGTCACTGCCAAATTTGTCTAAATTCAGGTTTGCGTATTTTTATCAGTTAATGTTATGTTATGTTTTATTCCACAAATAGGAACAAACCCCATGACCCTGGGGAAGGGTTACAAAAGTGAAATTAAACATTGAATTATTTGGCAGGTGGGTTAACAAAGAATATGCTTTGAAATTACGTCATGCTTTGCCTCTCTTTAAGATTTGTACATTGAAAAATAAATTTAGCCACACATATAATAGTGTGTTAATATACTGAAAGGACTTGTGAAATGACTTGTCAAAAGACTTGTGATGATGGACTCGACTCCAGAATATATGCCATGCAGCCAGGGATCACGCACAAATTCACGATGCTAGCAACATTAGCAATGCTGCAGACCTGGGAAATGGCAGACAGGGATCACTCAGAGAGGATACGGCAATAGCTATCCAAAATGACATTTTAATTGTAATCAGATTAAAGTACTTTTCCAAAAGTCATAATGGAATAAAAAATCACATGATTTCTTTTTCGTCTTTTTGTTTTCTTTTCTGTCCTTAGTTCGAGACAACTGGGCTTCTGTCTGTGATGTGAGTGAGTGTGACTACCCAAACGCAGCCGGAGGTAACTACATTGTATATTGTCATCAGTGCTTTTCTTTCTACACAGTTATTCCATAAATATGCCAACAATGCAGGTGCCATCAGTGATATAAGATTTTAAAGGTTTGCATGGTGAATGTAACAATAAGATAAAGATTTAGTGACAAATCTCTTCCGTGAGTTTGTGAGGTTTTGAAAAGAACCAGAGGAAACTCAACATTTCGAACAGCATGCTCTGCCCGTCATCAGGAGACTGAAGGGATTCCAACGGTGAAGGGAGGTTTTATGGTGTGACTGGAAGCAGTGAAGCAAGGACAACTTAGTTCCCCCACCCTAGTCAGCCTGTGGGTCCCCTTTTGGCTCCGGGTGCCAACAATAGAGGGAGCTTTTTACCACTTTTGAGAGCTCGGGGATGTGACTCAGGGTGTGCATGCTGAACTGGTTCTCGCGCGAAGTATGCACGACTTCCTGAATGGGCCAAAGCTATTAGCCACGGCGTCTTCGCGCGAGTGTCAGGCGTCATCGGCGTGCGAATACCTTCAATTTTAACTTGCAATGGTCTCCTAGGCTAATGCCCGCCCCAATAACTTTGAATCATTCCAAATATGCAGTGGATGGACCGGGAACCAGTCTAGTTCTCCCCCAACATTGTCCTTTTCTGGCCGTTGAAGGAGTACTTGTGCACAGAGCCCATACCCTTGGCATCCTTCCCCTCCACTCCCTTCCTCCGCACTGATACATCTCGCATGTATCGATCTTCTTGCATCCCCCGGCTTCTGCATGGACTCCATACCGACATGCCTCACTGATCAGCCAACATCCCCTGCTCAACTTGCTTGCTTACAGTCACACTATAACTTCCTCCACCATCAGCGGTAACCTCCCTTCAGTCTCCTGATGATGGGCTGAGCATACTGTCCGAAATGTTGAGTTTGCCCCTCGCAGAACCTCACAAACTCACAAAAGAGATTTGTCACATGGTGCTACCATAAATCTTTATCTTACAGGCATGCAACTTTTCCTCGGATCAGCTGATTTCCTCTTTTTTGACCTCCCATGTGTGTCATTGAAAATAGAAAAACACTGTACAAAGTCTGGGAAAGATTTGAATTTCCTCTTTTTTGGGGGTGACTTTCCAGTTGCATGCCTAATCTTATCAGTGATACATATATTGTTTTACTTTCAGAGAGTACTTTTTTGGTTGTACAATCCCATGAGGAGACCAAGAATCAGCCTGCAAAACGCCGCATTGTCAGGTCCAGCACAGCAGCCGATGGTGGATTCAATCCGGTATGTGATTCAAACAAAGACTAGACAGGCCTAGTAAAGCTGGTCCAAGACCTTTTTGGTCTCACAGGTCTAGGTAGTCATCTAAATCAAATGTTTTGGGCAAGGTGAGGATTATGCGAGTCTAAGTCACAAGTGACGGTTAGTCAGCCAGTGAGATGGGTACAAAGTAGGACTGTAGCCCGGCTCTCTGGGACCAGCAGCAAGACAAGGCAAGCCCAGTTAAGCCCAAGTTCCCTCCTCCAACTATCCTCCTCCCCGCTCGAGTCCTTTGCCCCTCCCTAGTCTTGGGGAAAGACGATTTAGTAGTTGTCCATAACCCGCCGCCGCGATAACCCTCCGCTGCAAGAGGGTGTTATCACAACAAACCGCTATCACCCGCGAACCGCCAGCAAAAACATCTTGGGAATCTTGTAATATCTTCCCCCTGAAAAATGGGGGATAAGCGTGCGCATGCTGCGCTACTTCTGCAGGCAAATGCAGTCCATTTTTAGTCCCACGCGTACTACATATGGTAAAAGAGCTGCTATAAAGTTGTACAAAAGTCCTGCTGCATCTTGTATGAAACTTGAAGACATTTGAGAGTTTGGTTCGGAACTAATACGAAAGGTTTTGAATGCGCTCTGCTTTTACTGTATTAGGCATTCAAGTGCTACCCTCCCAGAAAATGTGCCTCCTATGTGCCCCCTGCAAAATGGACCCCGGTTACGCCGCTTAGCAAGGAGTCTATAGACCATTTTGAGCACGCTGTCACAGTACATTCACAGAGCCCCCCTTCAATGGTGACACAATTGTGCTAGCTATTATACAAAGCAACTTCCCCATGGCGCGTTATCTGAACAACAGCTAGCACAATGGTTGAGGCCTGAAAGGGGCCTCCGAGATTGTACAGTAGTAGAGTGCTTGGATTGTTCTATTAACCCTTACCCTACTAGACCCTCCAACGCATGCCAATATGTGCCTCAAGAAAATCTCCTATGTTTTTTGCATGGCCCTCCAATATCTGCCATGTCATTTCAAGGGTAACTGGACAGGCACTCCAATACATGCCACAGAGAACAATGAGAGTCCTCTGATAACAAAGTGAGTGCCCCCAGCTGGTCAGTATCAGGCACCCTCCAGGGCCTCCAACTCCTGCCAATTGGAGCCTTCACTGTTAAGACAAACTATCTGCCAATAAACTGCAGCTGGAGGGCATTGGCATAACCAACTGACATGTAGTAAACTACCCTCAGAGAGTAAGGGTTAAGTAGAACATTGCCATTTCCTTAAACTTCAGCCCGTAAGTTGTCGCAAAGTGTCATGTGAAATGTGCTTTCTTTTTGTTCGCACAAGTTGATAAAATTTGCAGTTTCTTTTTGTTCATAGGACCTTGCCATAGGTCAGAAGTTTCCGTCTAGCCACGTCACTGTCTCTCCAAATGATGTCATCCTGTATGCTTTAGGAGGTAAACATATCTAACGCTTACCTCTCCCAACCCTTCCAAATCCAATTCTTTGATTCCGTTGGAGTGAGTACTGCACTAGTAAACTGAGCTTGCTCTACATGGGGTCAGGCATATCACCATAACCAGAGTCCAACACCTTGGGTGTATGCATTATCGTATGGTTTTCAAATTTGCAATAGTGAGGAAGGTTCCTTGTAAATCACTCATGGGTGTTAGGTTAAAGGGAATATACATCATTTGCTTTTGCTGTAATTTTCAGAAATGGATGGAATTGGGGGGTTGGAAATATATAGCAAATATAGTTACACTGACTTTTTTGAGGTTTTGGGTTCGAAAATGCTATAAAAACCAAGAAAAACAATCATTTTCCTGTAGTCTGGTTCCCTGACTCCATTTAAGAAGAAACAGAGCAGTTTACATATATTGGGGAATTGTAAGGTCAGGGAACCAGTCTAGCTGGCTTGTACCCGTTCATAGGTGTGTAATCGATTGCAAACAAGTGCGATGGTCAACTGGGGCCAGTATTTGAAAAAAAGCCAGTTTTCGTTGGAAATTGATACAAAAATACCACTTTTCTTGAAAATGACAGTATACCAGGTGCCATGATTTTACAGGATGCTTTACACTGTCATTCACTAACAGTCCAGCAAGGTATTTCAAAATGATTTGGTAGTTTTATTTTTTGATGTTTGCAAATGTTGTATTTTCCCTTTAAAGACTTCAAAGGTTTTTTTTAGGGGGGGGATTTACTATATCACAGTGCAACACCAGTAGCTCCAAAGTTCTACTGGGCTTAATGTCAGTTTAATTGACCAGTGCCAAAATAAATTTTAAAAATACATATACAATCTGCAATGAATTGTAGGATGAAGAATTTCTACGACAGAATTGTAAAAAACAAGTAAAATCTAACACCAGCCTATTAGCCCACCAGGCCGGCATTTATGTCCAGTTTCCTTGTCATAAAACAAACGAGAATATTTCTATTTCTCCTGGATGGAATGCCAGTCCATCATAGGTTATATACTTCCCAGCTAACGCTGATACCATTTATACTCCTTTGCGGAGAGAGTCCAGTGGGGTGAAGTGGCTTGCCCAAGGACACAATATACAGCCTGTCTCAAAAAAAATGGTACAATCAGAAAAAAAATTGGTTAACTATGAAATTTCAAAATAAGTCATTCTTACTTGGCATAATATTAAAGAACAAAGACTGGGCTTTCCAATAGTGTTTGTTTGATTTTATTTGCTTTTGTCAATTCAGAGATATAATCAATTTAGTGCGATACACCAAAATCGATTTTTGTGCCACTTTTATGCATGGGCAGAGTTGTTTCGAGTACGGTGGCACAAACTCGATGTGTTCCGCAGTAAACTGGAGTTATCTCTGGATTGACAAAAGCAAATGAGATGAAACAAAAAGTATTGGAAAGCCTGGTCTTTTTTCTTTAATGTGATGCTCAAAACGACTTACTTACATGTATGTTGAGATTTAATATTGAAAAAAAAAAATCAATTTCGATTGTACCATTTTTTTGGAGACAGGCTGTATGACAGAATTGACCAGTAGTTCATGATATTGTTCTCTTTTCTTGGTGCAACTAGTGGGTGCATCCACAGTTCAGCCCGATCACCTCAAGTTCCTTTTTGAGCTGAGTGAGGATTTCAGCACCCTGCCTTCCTACGGCGTGATCCTGGGACAGAAGGGAATGGCTAATCTCTTCATGGGGAGCGTCCCCGGTCTGCAAGATATAGACATCACTAAGGTTAGCTCAAATAAACCAGAGACAAAACAGGTTTACTTTGAATTTGCAGCTTACCTTGGAAACGTACATGCATCCCACAAATTGCACAGAAACTCCGTAACAGTTTGAAAAGCCTAGTTCATAAAACTAGCGATGCGATTGTCATTTTATAAAGAGGTCTGAAAATTGGATAAAAAATCTGAAAGATGCTATTAGTTTATACAGAGAATATCTATCTCTCAGAATCCGAAAGCTGATTTGATACAAAAAAGTCTGAAAAATCTTATGTAAGGCCAAAAAAAAAAAAATTCGGTCTCTGGTCAGACCAAAGTTCCGGAATTGACGCGGCGACGCGGCTTTTTTTTTTTTTTTTTTTTTCTTCAAGCTTGGATTGTACAGACAAGGTGGGGTACTATTTTGCTATTTTGGTGTCCTCATGTACATTGGTGTCCTTCATAATTTGCCTTGGTGCTCTCGATCATTTGCCGTGGTGCAATTTCCCATTCTTTGTTTAAAAAAAAAATGAGGAGGTGCGGCAATAGAGGGCGCTGTTGGAGCTACCGCGGAACATTTTGGAGAAAAAAAGATTGACGCGCATGATTAAAATCGACGCGCGCGCTGACCAGAGACTGACTTATTTTTTTTTTGGCCTAAAAGCTAAATTTACTGGCTTGTAACACAGTAACAAGTAAAACTGTTTGACAGCTTTTCCCTGTCTTATTTTGAAGTGCACAGTGAGCATAGTGAGTGTATTAAAAAGCCGTATCCTCTCTGAGTGATCCCCATTTGCCATTTCCGAAGTTTGCAACATTGCTAATTTTGCCAACAGCGTGTCTGTTGAGCGTGATCCCTGGCTACATGGCATATATGGGTTTACGGCTTCTGAACAAGGATATTGATAAATTGGGGAATCACCAACATAGGGCTCAGGGCTGGATAGCTCAGTTGGTAGAGCGCCAGAACAGCAGTCCGGAGGTTGCAGGTTCAAACCCCCTTCAGTCAATACCTTTGTTCAACTTTGAACAAATTTTGAGCGAATTTCGTTTAGGAAAAAAAAAAGTTTAGTGTGCCATGTAAGATAACTCCTAAGATACTCCTAAATGATTGTGTCGTGATGTTTTGTTATCACCATTTGTTATGAATTGGTGTTATTACAGTAACTTTTTAATTATTACTTCCCTCAGATTCTTCACGGGGAGCAGTTCCTAGAAGTCTATAAGCCTATCCCTACGTCTGGTACCTTGTCTAGTCAATGTGAAGTCGCTGATATCCTGGATAAGGGATCTGGTGCTCTCATCCTGATAGATGGTAAAGCCACTTCCCAATTACATGGCTATGGCTGGAAAATTACACATAGGCCTATAGAAGCGGCTGCAGCCATTTCCCATAGACTTGTGTGTTTTAATACTGACAGCCGTAGCCAAGTTATTTGGATGTGGCCTATGGCTGTGTCTATTTCAAGTACTTTGTGGCTACTGCTGTGGTTTTTGCCATTGGACTATTATGGCGTGTATCCATAGCCATCTAAATGTTGTGGTTTTGGGCTAAGGCTTTGAGTCTTATAATTGATATAAATATGTGGATATCCCTCATATTTTTCTCAGTTTTACTTTTGTTGACATGTCGATGAATGCAAAATTTAAACAACCATAACTTGTCAACAGAATGTCCAATTGAAGTGCAACAAACAGTATTGTGAGGAGAATTTTATTCTCTTTCTTGATATCTGCAAACCCTCATTTCGAGGTCTGCCCAGTTCAGTCTCATTTTGCCAGAACTCCTCACAAATATGCTTTGATGAAACCAGAGACACAGAAGGACAATTGGGCTATTGCGTCATTTATATATTTTAAAAACTTCTAGTGCGAAACATAAACAAAATTACGATGTTAAAAATTGACCAACTTCGAATGGGATTTTCTCAAAAGTCGGTTTTGCTGGAGTTTGGGCAGATTTGTCAAATCGTCAAACCAGTGACAGTATGACTGTGTACGGTTTCCAAGTTTTTCCAAGCAAGTACATGTATGTCTTTGCTTTGCAGCTAAGGTCTACGACGAGAACAAAGAGCTTGTGTGTTCCAGCCAGGCGTCCATTTTCCTCGTTGGAGCGGGCGGCTACGGTGGAAAGAAGACATCCAACAAAGTCAAGGTATGGTGGACTTACTGAGGTTTTATAAATACGAGACCTCGCCTTGCTCGCTTTGCGGGGGAAATGTTGCCCACTCTGCAAGCTTGAGTGGTGATATGACCAAGAAAAATATGTGGGGGGGGGGGGGGATTTTGTGACTCGTAACATGTCTCAAACCCTCCTTGATTCTGCAAAATCAACCGGGCGGTCTTTGAGGATTTTGGAGGATTGAGGCTGTATGCCATTTTGGTGCTGGTTGATTTTTGGAGGATGCACTGTGTCAAGGTCTTAAGCTGCTCCGTTGTGTTGTTTATGCTTAGCCGTGCATAATTATGCCTAGATTATACAAGATATCATCTGCACTACTTTTGGATATCATCGGCAATTCCTCATTGTATTAGAATGATTGTTGGAGGATTTTGAAAGATTGAGGCAGTGGTCACCCTCCGCTGAACAAATACAAAAAAATATCAGATGATTTCGGAGGATTGAGGCTGTAACCAAATTTGTACATGGTGACAATTGGAGGATTTTGCAGGACTGAATATGGTTCTTAGCCAAAAGGGCCTAGGGGGTTAGGATTTAAGTTTCAAACCATAGTTTTTACCTATGAAACTGATCTTGTGTAGTTATACGTAAAGATGTACATGTGTCAGTTCAAGAAATGCACATCTCTTGGCTGTCTCGATAAGAAAGTCTCTGACATAAATCTTTTCCAACAGTATAATTTGTCAAGGAATCTTTTTTCCAACAGTATAATTTGTCAAAGAAAGTCTGCTTTCAGAAATTAAGATATTATAAAGAGATCTGTATTTAATAGCATATGAAAATCCTATGTTTGTCCAGCTGTCCACAAAAGTCTGTTTTTGACCAAACGCGTCACAAATTCATACCGTGCATTCCTATACCCCAGGCACAAGTGAGACTATTGTTACCGTTCACCTCCCCCAGATACTCAAAAGAAGTCCTGAGATTCTGGGAACACGAGCCTCAATCACATATTTTGCTTCGAATGTAAAAAATTGTTTATCGTGTGTTTTTGTTTTTTGCTTTAGGCAACCGTTAAGCCCCCAACACGTGCTCCCGATGCCTCCATAAAGGAAACGACCACTAAGGATCAGGCCGCCGTCTATCGCTTGACCGGGGACGCCAACCCACTCCACATTGACCCATCATTTGCTGCCATGGGAGGTAGGTTCAGAAAGTTGTGTCTCTAACTTTGTCCTTACCACGAGCAACTTTAGTCAACAAGACACTTAATAATAATAATAATAATAACACGATTTATAGCGCGCATTTTCGCAAGTAACAATGCGCGACTAAGGACAACTCCAGAAGACAATTTACAGATTATGTGGAGAAAACAGATCAGTTTTCAGTCTGCCCTTAAAGTTGTCAAGAGAACTGATGTTGCGGATGTTGTGTGACAAGGAATTCCAGCATCGGGGACCAGACACTGAGAAGGCCCTGTCCCCTGCCTTTTTGAATGGGTGTGGAACTCTAAGGTTGTTACTGGAGCGGAGGCCACTACGGCTGGGTGCATTAAGGTTGAGTGATCCCATTATGTACTGCGGCATTGTGTTATGAAGTGCTTTGTGCATGAAAACTGCTGTTTTGAAGTTAATGCGTTGTCTAACTGGTAACCAATGTAATTGTTTAAGGAGTGGAGAGGCATGTGTGTATTTGGGTTGAGATAATGAGATACAAGCGGCATTGTTTTGAAGCCGTTGGAGTCGATCAACCTCATACTGATTAATACCATTGAGAAGAGAGTTGCAGTAATCGAGTCGGGATGGTACAAGTGCTCGGACAGCGGCGTGGCATGTGTTTGTGTCTATGTACATGTATTTACGAATCTTGGATATGTTCCTGTTGTGGTAGTTGATAGATTTGCATATGTTTGTTATGTGTTTGCTCATTGTCATGGAACTGTCGAAAACAACACCCAAGTTTCGGACTGTCTGAGATAGTTTGATTGCTGTGTTACCTATCTGCAGAGTTATGTCGGTTAAGTGTTTCTGGTGATGATGAGAAGATGCGGCAATGAAAAATTCAGTTTTATCCTCATTTAACTTGAGTTTGTTTGTTATCATCCAATTCTGCACATCGGTGATGCAATTTGACAATCTGAAAAGGGCACAAGCTGCGTCGTTCGGTTTGGATGGATTGAAATCGAGATAAATCTGGATGTCGTCTGCATATATGTGGTATTTCACATCATGTCGGTGAAGGACATCACCAAGAGGACTCAGGTACATGGTGAAAGCGAGTGGGCCAAGGACTGACCCTTGAGGGACGCCAGAATGGATATGGCTCTCATCTGAGTCGACTCCTACAACGGTGACATAACTCCTTCTATTTTTGAAGTAGGAGGCACACCACTTGAGAGCAGTACATGTATGTGTTATGCCAAACTGGTTTTGGAGGCGACGCAGCATAATGCCATGATCAAGAGTGTCAAATGCAGCAGACAAATCAAGCACTTCCCCCTACTGCATACCATGGTGACTTTAGTTGACATGGAAACAACACACACACACCCATATACAAACAGATATATTCAGTGTTTTGGAAGAGGCTGGAATGTTAGTATGTTCTGCTGCCCATACATGTTCATTAACCATATGCCCACTGAAAGAGTATTTTCCGTGATGACATTTGACCATAGACAGTGGATCACTCCAGTTGTACGTGTGATAATTTGCTTTTCAAACCCTGTATGTTCTGGGACAGGTTTTGCTCAGCCCATCTTGCACGGTCTCTGCTCCTTCGGTTTTTCTTGTCGCCACGTCCTGAAGCAGTACGCCGACAACGACGTCACCAAATTTAAGTCTGTTAAGGTCAGTTACTCTACCGACAATCGTTTGCACATTCTTTAGGTTGCATATACCGTCCTATTTCAGGTATCACCCCGAAAAATAGGTTTGTTATTTGAAGTGCTGCTCTCCTAGTAATCTGAAAGTGTTTTAACTTTGAATGAGACATCGAATGGAAAACTCTACTGATGTTTGGTTACTGAACAATTTACCGACCAAGTTTAAGATATTTGCAGTACTGCAGTTATACGGCTCGCAGGGCGGGTTCGTTTGTGTGCAAAATGGGGCCCTTTTTTACAGGGTTGCAGATTCCCCAAATTGTAGTAAAGTAGGGTTTTTTGTTGTTGAAACAAAACATACAAATTGAGAATTTGTTGGAGATTTTTTTTTTTTCAAGAACCGTGGTTTTTTTCAAGGGGTATGCAACTTTGAATATGTTACACTTTCATTGCGTTGACAAGAAAATACACTCTGAAGTGAAAGTTTCTATGTCGATTTTGTTGTTTTCTCTGTATCTAGTGCCGCTTTGCTAAGCCTGTTCTGCCGGGTCAGACCATTCAAACTGACATGTGGAGAGAAGGCAACCGCATCCATTTCCAAACTAAGGTATGCCAGAGATTCTGCAAAAAAAACCAGGAATACTGTGCTGTGGTTGTGAGGTCACTCAGATTCCACACAGTGCAACCATAGTTATATTTTCTCACGCATTGCATATTGCTATGGCAGTTGTAAACCCAAGTTTTATAATTGGCTTGTATCTCATCTTGAAAGTGAACATAAGGGCAACTGTGGTTTTAAGTGGTGTGGTGGCAATCTGCTGCAAAGAAGAGTGAACCATTTTCAAGTACTAATCTGTGAAAATGTTCTATAAAAGTAGGATGTAGACTACTGTCTATGATCGTGTGTTAAAACTACCTGGAATTTGTCATCAAAGTATGAGCCTGACCTGGGAGAAGGTGACATCACACGCCAGCAGCATATAAAGGGATTTTCCTTTTAATGATTTTTTTTCAGACAAAGCCTTTCAAAATGTCTTGGTATTTCTAAATTCCAGAATGATCTGGAAAAGCCAGAATGCAAATGAGAAATAAGTTATGGTACAAGCTCAAGTGGAACACAGAATGTTGTAGTGCGTCTGTGCCCCACAAAACCGAAGGCCGAGTGGTATGTGAGATACAGACACGCTACATTTTCCCTGTTCCACATGCGCGAGTGGGATAACAAATTTATCTTCCAACAAACTTATGTACAGTAAAGGTGGAACACACACACTGTACATAAACTTTTCAGCAGTTATCCTATTGCACGTGCTTGCAGCATGAACGGCCCGCACATCTGGCATAGCGCAATATGCGGAGTGCAATATGGACCATGTCATATGGGATAATGTAGCACAGATTGTTGCCATGGATCCAACAATCAGAATAGAGGATTCAAGTTTGCTTGAATTGTAAATAGTGTTTTCAGGCAATCTAGATGCAATGGTTATTATCAAACCATATGAAAAGAGCCAAACATTTATTCTGCATTTGTGTCCACCTTGTTCCCAGGTTGCTGAGACAGGAACTGTGGTGATCTCAGGGGCTTATGTGGACATGATCAACCTTGCTCCCCAGCCTGCAGCTACAGAGGTCAGTATTTTTTTACTTTAACGTGAATGCATATTCATGAGTTCTGTAATCACAGGCTTGTGAGGTCCCTAACGCACTCACGTTTTGCTTTGTCACAATACACGTGCCTTGCACGTTTTAACTTGCATTCTCCCGACCAAAAAGACTGTTACTATATCACATGATTCGGGGCAAGCCTTTTGCTAGCAACCTCTGGCATGGTCTGGTGTCTTTGTGCCATTCTCACCCATTGTGAACAGTGTATTGGTGCTGAGCGTCTCTTACATAACTATGCAAGAGCTTGCCCCGAATCATGTGATTAGCAACAGTGTCTTTGGTCTGGAGAATTTAAAGTTAAAATGTGTTAAGCATTCTGAGCGAGTTGGTGTACCAGATGTTTTCAAATTTAAATCCCGAAGGGTGTAGGTCACTCGCAAATGGCTAAATTTTAATGCACGTACGTTATCTGCAGTGGAGTTTATGATATTTTTTGTCTGCTTTGTTTTGGCAGCCATCATCGGCCGGAGGCCTGCAGTCTGATCTGCTCTTCCAGGAGATGAGCCGTCAGCTTCCCAACAACCCTGACGTAGCCAAGAAAGCTAAGGGGGTGTTCTTGTACAACCTCTCCAAGGGAGGCAAACAGGCAGGCCAGTGGAGTAAGTCAAGTCTCACTGAACATAGGAGTCATCTCGTTAAAGGGAAAATACAACATTTGCTTTTGCTGGAATTTTTCAGAAATGGATGGATTAGGGGGTTTAGTATGTTATAGCAAATATTGTTACACTGATTTGTTTGAAGATTTTTGTTCGTAGATGCTGGAAAAACCAAGAAAAACAATCATTTTCTTGTAGTCCTGACCCCACTTAAATTGAAATGGGGCAATTTATAGACATCGGAAATTGCATGGTTAGGGAACCAGTCTAGCTGGTTTGTACCCATTCATAGGTGTGAAATCAATTGCGAACAAAATGCAGACTAACTAAATATGAAATATTGGGGGCAGTATTTGAAGGAAAAAAAACCCCGTTTTTTTCCAATGCTTGTCGGCCGACCAGTGTTGGAAATTGATACAAAAATGCTTTTTTTCTTGAAAATGTCGGCACACCAGGTGTCATGATTTTACAGGATGCTTGAGACTGTCATTCACTAATGGTCGGGTAAGATATTTCATAATAATTTGGTTGTTTTGTTTTTGGTATTTGCAAATGTTGTATATTCCCTTTAACTATCCGGCATAAGTTGCGGACATGTTCCTCAGTATAGGCTAATTTCATCAGGTATTAGTCAATGTTGTAGTCGACTCACCTGAGTCGAGTCTGAGTCTACAGTCACTTGGGTCGAGTTGGAGTCCGAGTCTTGATGAGTCATTTGGTTCAAGTCTGAGTTAGAATCCTAAGTCAGTGGATTCAAGTCCAAATCAGAGACACACAAGTATGAAATGGATTTGCTTCATAGAGCTATATTAAATTACCAGTGTGCCGACTTGATGTACAAAGTGATGCCTGATGGAAAAACTTGAAATTGTGTACGACTTTTGTACGGCTGTTGTATATCTGCAGTTGTATTTTATGTCAAACAGCAAGATTTGAACCCCTGACTCTCTGATCATGAGTCATGATCTCTTATCACTAAGCCACACTCCCACAAACCTGTTTACAACAACAAATTTACAACAAATTTACAACAACAAATACTCCTGGGTGGACAGAGGCAGGAGGGTGAAATAGCTTGCCCGAGGACCCAACATATGTGATGCGATCAAGCTAAATGAGTCGTTTGTCGACCCTGGTAAAAAAAAAATTTATTACAGATTTGAAAAGAGCACAATCTCAGCATTACTGCTGTGAAAACCGCATGCTGATACCATCTTTAGTTCAAAAATTATGGAAGTCGGAACACCAATAGATGTAATGGAGTGATGTGATGAAGTGGCCCTATTTTGGCCTGTATCTTCAAATGAAAATTCCCGACAAACGACTCATTTAGCTTGATCGCATCACATATATGTCCAGCAGCAGGATTCGAACCCCTAACCCTCTGTTCATGAGTCATGAACCCTAACCACTAGGCCACACTCCCTCACCTTTGTAATACTGTTTGTGCCTAAATGGGGATCTGATAACCAAACTTTGCATCTTTCCAGCTGTTGATATGAAGACTCCAGGCGGTGCTGTGTACAAAGGTACGCCCAAGAACGGCAAACCTGACGTCACTGTAAACATGTCAGACGAAGACTTTGTGGCCATAGCCGCTGGCAAACTCAACCCTCAGCAGGTTGGTTTCCGTTTGACATCATTTTTTTTCCATCTTCAGATTTTTTTGAGTAATGCAGCCTTGAGATTGTTACCATGCGTGGTAGTAATGCTTCCAGGGTTTTTTTAACATCCGGAGGAGGGTGTATCTGAAATAATTTGTAGAACTTGTTCTTCAAATTTGTTGTTAAAGGAACAATATTTAACGTAAATCAATATTAGGTTTTGCCCTTTACTGACGTATAAACACTGTATACACAGTGTGTAATCTCCCAAGTGAAAGATAAAAAAAAAATCACTCGGGTGGGACTTGAACCCTCAACATCCTGCTTTCTAGTGCAGACGTCTTACCACTCGACCACTGAGCTCGCGGGATCGGTTGGCTGTTCGAATCTTATGTACATAGAAGCGGGTACCGCATATAACTTTATGAACAATATTTAACGTAGATATACTAAAAAAACGATGTTAATGAAAAAGGAGAAAACTTTCCTTAGGGCCTAATGATCTACCTGTTCCTCCCTGCTTGAAGCACCAGTTCGCGCTCGTGTTGCACCAAGTACGCACCATTCTTTGTATTCTGAATGTGCACAACCTGTAGCGTTTGTGTTTTTCGCATTAGACTCGGGTGTCGTAGGCAATGCGTTTGATTGTCCCTCCCAGTGGTCTCCCCCCAGCTTGCCCTTTCTAACCATTGAGGGGGTACTTATGCACAGAGTCTATAGGCTTGGGGCCTTTTAAATTTACTCCTATCCCCAAACTTGTGAAGTTTATAAATACATAATGAATACATTAATTACCAATAAATTGTAATTACATGTAATAGTGTTTTCCATCGTATCAACAATCTCAAAGCACTTTACAATTATTCCCCTATTCATCAGGCCATGAGACCACTCAGCAGCCAATATAAGTGCACATTCGGTCCTCTACCCTCACAGGTACCCATTCATACTCCTGGGTGGAGAGAGGCAATTGTAGTAAAGTGTCTTGCCCAAGGGCACAAACGCCATGTTCTTGGCAGGGTTCGAACCCACGATTTATTGGCATAAGTCAAACACTGTAACAACTCGACCATGGCATTCTAAGTTTATCGTTGTAATTTCCCCTCTTTTATAATTCAAAACAGGCTTTCATGTCGGGTCGCCTCAAGGTCAAAGGTAACATCATGTTGCTGCAGAAGATGACCCAACTGCTGATGACCAACGCTAAGCTGTAGACAACCCAAGCCAAAGTCCAGAACACCCCAGCCAAGATCTAGGTTGCCCTAGCCGAGCAAGGCTGGGGTGTGTGGGACGATAGCCACCTGACACTTAACAAATCTACCTGAATACAGGTGGTATAATTATCGTTAAAGCCCTAAGGATCATTTGCAATTAGCCGGAATAGTACCTACCGATATAACAACTCAAACCTTGCTACAAGTGACTATAGGACTAGTACCAACTGCCCATTATTATTCCACCTGAAATGGTGATGTTTGGAAGGAAACTATAATTGAAGGTGGTTTCAATAAGGCCAACAAAAATAAGTCTCCAGTTTCTGGTATGCGCACCCGTCGCCGTAGCCATGCGCGTCGGCAAAATGAAAAAGTTTTTTTTTCAATGTAAGATGATGGCTCAAAACCGCCAAACTCACTGGTTTGACTGGAATCCTGCTGCTGCACAATTTTAACGTGTTTTTAGATGGTGTTATGATCGAGTATAAGCTTTAGTGGCCTTTCTGGGCTCCAATACATTTTGCACTAAATTTAGTTGGGCACCATTTGCAGGCATCATTTGAAGGGAAAAAAGTCACCAAAAAAAGCCGCGTCGCCGCACCACTTTTGGGGCAAGCTCCATACCAGAAACCAGAGACTTTTTTGTTTGGCCTTAGCAATAGGAATCCAGTTACAAGTCCCCCAAAATTTACGCATATGTTTTCTCTGGTTTTTTCAAAACCTATAGTAGCCACTGAGCTTAAACTTGAACGGGTTAGTTGTTATGCACACATCTTAAGATTTTGAGCAATTTTGTTGTTTCAAACAGAAAAAAATTCATAAAAGCAACTTATCCTGCATACTTAAAGAAGATTGGTTTTGTGAGTCAGAGATTCATGGATTCATTGTAGCAAGACTAGACAAACCTAGAATAACTGGTCCCATTGCATACACAATTCTATTCAATGTTTGTTTTATTTCATAAATTTGGTCGAATGGGCTTGATTTTACATTCCTTGGCATTATGGGGTAATCCTATATGATAGCACTGCCTGTTAATCAGCTTGTTAGGCTGGGACCAGCACAAACTATGCCGTTTTAGTTGTAGATAAGTCCTTACAAATCAATCGCAAGTCTGTCACAAGTTAATCATGAGTCAATCACAAGTCAATCACAAGTCCATCGCAAGTCAATCACAAGTCAGTCACAAGTCAATCGCAAGTCAATCGCAAGTCCATCGCAAGTCAATCACAAGTCAATCACAAGTCAATCGCAAGTCCATCGCAAGTCAATCACCAGTCAATCACAAGTCCATCACAAGTCAATCACAAGTCAATCACAAGTCAATCTCAAGTCAATCACAAGTCAATCACAAGTCAATCAAGAGTCAATCACAAGTCAATCACAAGTCACTCACAAGTCAACCACAAGTCAAATTACAAGTCAGTCACAAGTCAGTCACAATTCAATCACACGTCAATCACAAGTCAATCACAAGTCAATCACAAGTCAATCACAAGTCAATCACAAGTCAATCACAAGTCAATCACAAGTCAATCACAAGTCACAAGTGAATTGACAAGCTATTCAAATACACTTGACAAAAATGCATTCCTTTGTTGACAGTTAAAATAAAATACATTTCCAGTCGTGATATTTGCAAAATCAAGTTTAAAATATGCCATACAATCACCTTTGAACGTTAAATTAAAACAGTAATTTTAAAAGAATCAGCTTCGAAACTGTAAAATCCAAGTCCTTATAACTTCTGACCCATTTTATTAAATGATCTTAAGTTAGCAAAATATATTATAAAAAATCCAGAAAGAAAAAAAAATATTTTACGACTTTAGCAGAAAATGTTTTGTACTTGATCTGTTTTTATTGTCCATGTATTCCAGAATGCAAGAATTGTTTAAGCAGAATGCATGAATGATTTCATGGGAATAATTCCAAAATAATGATTGTTCTGCTGATTTTTGCATTGTATACTGTATTATGTTTGAATAAAGTTGAGAAGATGTTTGTGAAAAACGATGACGGTGAGGAAAATTTAATGAGGAAAATGTAACTACAAGAAATGTTGAGCAATCGTTTTTGAAAAGTGTTATATGAAATTGCATTTGTGGAGAATCTGTTGTATGATTTGGAAGTTAGTCACTAAGACCGGAATCTGATATTCGTGATTTAAAATCATTGGATATCAAATCAAACTTGGATATCAACACATGAATTATGATTTCATTATGATTTATTCATAGTTTGGCAAGACTTATAGTTGTTTAATGATTTTATATGCTTTGTAGTCATTTGTGGATTCCTACAAGAAATGTAATTTCTTTTTTTACATCGTTGCTCATTCATTCAAATGATTACCTGCGACTTACAATATTGCTATGGGCATTAATAGTCATGGAAGAGAAATTAAAATAAATTTCCATATGAATTATTGTTTAGTAGTTTTCATATGTTTATGATTATTTTCAGTTGCAATTGTTCACATGCAAAGTAGGATCAGTTACCAGATATTAATAAATGTATGAATTAATGATTTGTATTTGGATTTGAAAATAAAGCATTTTCACAAAATCCCCCGGGAAAAAAAACTTGTACTGATCAAAATGTCTCAAATTTCAGCCATTTTATTTAACACTCACACGCAATTTAGTTTTTGAGGCATCATTAACACATGTTTCAGTGTTTTTTACTTTAAAAGTGGAAAAATATGGGAAAACGGGCAACAATAAATTAGAGCCACGTGGTTAAAAAAAAACAGACACCAGAAATGAACAAAGATTTGTTTCGAACAAAAAGTGAAACTCCTTTTCTTAAAGTATGATGTATTTTGGCCTGAATGCAATTTTCTTTTTGGGACATCCTTCCGAAAAAAAGCAGAAGAGCCCAACCATAACAAGGCCTTTCCGCAATTTCAAAAATAGCACTGACTCGACTTGTATTAGTGATCATAGCTGGTTTCCGCAGGCCCACGCAATGTCACCGCGCGATGACCTTCGTCACAAAGGGTTGTTCTTTTGGAACACATTGACTTCACCATTGTTGCGGATACAAAGGCATCAAAGGACACCATTTTTGTTTGTGATATACATCATGAGTCCATTGATCACCCCTAGAGATACCACCTCTGGGGGCGACCGTTGTTGGGCGATCGTTATAGATCGCCCCCAGCGGTACATCCTCTAGAGGCGACTGTTATAGATCGCCCCCGGCGGTACAGCCTCTAGAGGCGACCGTTATTAGTCGCCCCCAGCGGTACATCCTCTAGAGGCGACCATTGTTAGTCGCCCCCAGCGGAACAGCCTCTAGGGGCGACCACTATAGATCGCCCCCAGCGGTACAGCCTCTAGGGGCGACCAATAATTGTCGCCCCTAGCGGTATACAAAAACGCGCGTACCGCTAGGGGCGACAATTATTGGTCGCCCCTAGCGGAAGTTCCTTTAGGGGCGACCAATAATTGTCGCCCCTAGCGGTATACAAAAACGCGCGTACCGCTAGGGGCGACAATTATTGGTCGCCCCTAGCGGAAGTTCCTTTAGGGGCGACCAATAATTGTCGCCCCTAGCGGTATTCAAAAACGCACGTACCGCTAGGGGCGACAATTGTAGGTCGCCCCTAGCGGACGTTCCTCTAGAGGCGACAATGATTGGTCGCCCCTAGCGGAAGTTCCTTTAGGGGCGACTAATAATTGTCGCCCCTAGCGGTATACAAAAACGCACGTACCGCTAGGGGCGACAATTATTGGTCGCTCATAAAGGTATTTCAGCTAGGGGCGACAATAAACCGTCGCCTTTATATGAATTTCTTTGTATTGATCTACTGCCCCTTATTCGAGTTGGAATGTGTTCGAGGGTCCCTAAGGAGTCTTTCCAGGAAGTTTCGCGCAATTTCATTTTTTGGCCAAAATTGACAAAAAATGCAAGGGGTTAGCCTTACATTTTGTATGAAATTTGGCCAAAATATGAATTTCTTTGTATTGATATATCTGTCCCTAAATCGAGTTGGAATATATTCGAGGGTCCCTTAGGAGTCTTTCCAGGAAGTTTCGCGCAATTTCATTTTTTGGCCAAAATTGACAAAAATTTGCAAGGGGAAAGCCTTACATTTTGTATGAAATTTGGCCAAAATATGAATTTCTTTGTATTGATATATCTGTCCCTAAATCGAGTTGGAATGTGTTCGAGGGTCCCTTAGGAGTCTTTCCAGGAAGTTTCGCGCAATTTCATTTTTTGGCCAAAATTGACAAAAAATGCAAGGGGTTAGCCTTACATTTTGTATGAAATTTGGCCAAAATATGAATTTCTTTGTATTGATATATCTGTCCCTAAATAGAGTTGGAATGTGTTCGAGGGTCCCTTAGGAGTCTTTCCATGAAGTTTCGCGCAATTTTATTTTTTGGCCAAAATCGACAAAAAATGCAAGGGGTTAGCCTTACATTTTGTATGAAATTTGGCCAAAATATGAATTTCTTTGTATTGATATATCTGCCCCTAAATCGAGTTGAAATATATTCGAGGGTCCTTTAGGAGTCTTTCCAGGAAGTTTCGCGCAATTTCATTTTTTGGCCAAAATTGACAAAAAATGCAAGGGGTTAGCCTTACATTTTGTATGAAATTTGGCCAAAATATGAATTTCTTTGTATTGATATATCTGTCCCTAAATCAAAGTTGGAATGTGTTCGAGGGTCCCTTAGGAGTCTTTCTAGGAAGTTTCGCGCAATTTCATTTTTTGGCCAAAATTGACAAAAGTTGCAAGGGGTAAGCCTTACATTTTTTATGAAATTTCGCCAAAATATGAATTTCTTTCTATTGATATATCTCTGCCCCTCAATCGAGTTGGAATATATTCGAGGGTCCCTTAGGAGTCTTTCCAGGAAGTTTCGCGCAATTTCATTTTTTGGCCAAAATTGACAAAAATTTGCAAGGGGAAAGCCTTACATTTTGTATGAAATTTGGCCAAAATATGAATTTCTTTGTATTGATATATCTGTCCCTAAATCGAGTTGGAATGTGTTCGAGGGTCCCTTAGGAGTCTTTCCAGGAAGTTTCGCGCAATTTCATTTTTTGGCCAAAATTGACAAAAAATGCAAGGGGTTAGCCTTACATTTTGTATGAAATTTGGCCAAAATATGAATTTCTTTGTATTGATATATCTGTCCCTAAATAGAGTTGGAATGTGTTTGAGGGTTCCTTAGGAGTCTTTCCAGGAAGTTTCGCGCAATTTTATTTTTTGGCCAAAATTGACAAAAAATGCAAGGGGTTAGCCTTACATTTTGTATGAAATTTGGCCAAAATATGAATTTCTTTGTATTGATATATCTGCCCCTAAATCGAGTTGAAATATATTCGAGGGTCCTTTAGGA